AGTACAAGTTTTTGTTTGTTTTCATAATTCAAAGATAAGCCAGGTATGAAGGTTTTCTTCGTAAAATAATACTTTCCGCAATAAGTATCCAGAGATCACCAAGTGGCTGTACTCGTTGGTAATCACGTGCGATCTTGTTAGTTAGTATAGTAATTGTACTTTCAAATAATAATCGTAACTGACTGAGTGATGTTTAGTAAAACGATCGAACCACGCAGTGCCTTTCATATTTCAACTTTTTATAGACGTGGTGACAATGATCGTTGTTGGTTCTTCAGTTGTATTGAAATGTAACTTTACTAAAAACAATGGCGAATGTTATAGTTATATATAGTAAAACACATACTTGCTCATAAATTAAAAGCTTTCGATAGTTCATAACATATTTAAATAATCACTGTATTATTCTGATATTTGAGTTAATTACCTGGCTTCGTTGTGTTTACGTTCGTACTTGGTGGGACAGACGTAGTGGTGACAATATTCGTTGTCGGCTCGTCAGTGGAAATGGGCTGTGTAGAAACTAAACACAGAGTAACAAAACACAAACTTACATTAACATATTGCTACCTATTTACTAAAATGTTGGTTCTTCAGTAGAGATGAGGATTGTTGTGACTGGATTCAATAAACCATGGCATACTAACTACGGTTCTATTGTTTTATAATAAGCCTAGCACACTGCATACTGGTGCAATAATTCGTATTAAAAATAAACTTGAATCATTGTATTTGTGTTATTTACCTGGTTCAGTTGTGAGTACATTTGTAGTTAGTTGTTTTGAAGTGGTAGTAAAAATGGTAGTTGCTGGTTCTTTGATCGATATGAGCAATGTGACAAGTAAAGGCATGGTAAATAGTTAGTGAATATAATCTATTACCTGCAATCTTTCTTCATAAGAAACCTGATCACTAACACATAAAATGCTTTCAATAGTTCGTAATTTAATTTAACAATGCATGATTGCCTTATCCTATTTGTTTATCAAAATGTGTCTAAATTTCATAGAATGGTTTTGATAACATATATTGTTGATTGAGATGAAGTAATGGTGACATTGGTGTTATTTTCCATTTCTTTAGTAAAAAATAGATTGTGTACATGCATAAAGCAACAGCAATATTACAATCAAATATTGCCTTACACCTTATCGCGATCTCCTATCCAAAATGCTCACTCATAAATAAATGTATTTCACAGTTTCGGTAACGAATATAAACACTATCACTCGTTTAACAATATATTCCATATTCTTTTACACATATTTATTTTAGAATGCATCTAACTCACTGGTCGTGTTCAGACATAAGGTTTCTAACCAAAACATTTTGATTATAACTGATATGTGGGGGTGCCACAAGTTGAGCAGTATGTGTGCAATAATTCTCTGTTTTGTAATGTATTGTCTAATTCCTCGCATACAAATGTATGCGTTTTCCTCACACATACACAGCCTATAGTGACACAGCCATGAATTGTGACATCATGACAATTCTGACCAAATACTTGCAATATAGTCTCAACATATATTCGTTGAAAATGGCCTATATATATGTGTGACAATGCCAGATGAACGGTTTTACATATATTATATGTTTATATTTCCTATACCATTTATTTGACGTCATCTTGATAGTGGGTATCGTGTGGCTCGGGCGGATGCGGCCACGAAACAAAGATTCACTCGTTGAGTATGACGTCACATTTATTCCCAATACTGACGATTATAAACAATTACAAATGCATTTGATGTACAATCATATAATGTCTATAACATATTATTACAAAACAACAATTGGTCATTGTTCTAGAGATACTTACCTGGCTTCGTTGTGATTACCTCTGTAGTTGGTAGTGCTGATGTGACAATTGTCGTCGGTGATTCTTCAGTGGAAATCGATTGTGTGGTACCTAAGTATAGAAGTAACAGTTATATTCATTAATTGTTTCTTGATAATAAAAAAAACTTGATCAGCCAACATTGAAAATTTCGCAGTGTTTCGTAATCAGTTTGAAAACTAGAATTTTTTTTTGTTTTTTATTTTGCCTGTTGAAAATTACCTTGTTTAGTTGTAAGTATATTCGTAGTTGGAGGTGCTAAACTGGCAGTGACAGTAGTAGTTGTTGCTTCTTCAGTGGAAATGATTTGTGTAGTTACTAAATATTAAAAGTAACACTTAGTATACATTCGTATATCACCTACAGAATATTACTGCCTAAAAACTAAGATGCCCATTAACATATTTGTGAAAATGAAAGTGAAAAGCCTTGTGTTATTTCAACATAATAAGTAAATATTTGTGGGAGTTAGGTCCGAGTTACTTAACGCAATAATGTAATAAATGGTTTAACTTATATTTGCGGTGATGAATTAAACCACACAAATTTGTATTTAAAAGTAGCTTCTCGTTTTCATGGCAAATATAACTTGATAGTGTTATATATAATCGCACATATTTTTGTGATACAAGATAAGGGAATATATTTCATGCATTTACCTGTCTCAGTAGAACAACTGCTAATTGATTAATTCTTACACAGAATGAGTTTTTATTGCAAATATAAACTGATGGTATTTCTTCGGTATGAATACACACAAGATCGCAGATATATCTGTGTTACAAAATAAATCTTAAAAGTTTACCTGACTCAGTTGACCAACTAATCGTTGGTGCTACTTCTGTGGAAACTGAGCAGCCAGCTGAAATTATTAAATTACATAGTCATTGTTGAGACGTGAATGAATACATGGTATCGATGACGGAATATACATAATTTATATAACCAGTATTAGTACACACTTACGGATTGGTGTTTGGCATATATATCCACGTTTTGCATTGCAGTTGTTATCATCCCACTTGTATGCGCGTCTCTTCCTGAAAAAAAACACTTTAACACTTGCTTCTCTCTGACCAGAATTGCAGAATCGATTATTCGATAACTTGAATGAAAACAATCATTTTCTCGAAATTTATAAATATTGGTTAGAAGAAATCACTTTGAAAGCAAATTTATGTTATTGCATTAACGCAATATTTAATTATAGAAGAACACATTTTTAGATTAATCATGAATTGAAGAAAACCTGTTTTACTGTCAGGTCGTATATGAATCATCTCTATATTTGCATTATCCTTAAAGAACATGTACAGGCACTTTAGTACGGCTGTTAATGATATTCTGATATAAATATCGTAACAATACTCTTTTACTCTGGCACGTGTTATATTTATAAAGGTTTTCAAAGCTTACCACACTTGTACACAGTCTTGTCCTTCTACGGATTGTTGTACTTTATTATTTGGCTCTCCCTTTGCCCACGCTGTCCATCCAAATACATCTCCATTTAACCATTCAAATGAACCTTCTGTAGACAGGTCATTAAGCCCTATCCAATACCCACGCACACCGTTATCGAAATTACCGTTCATGATAAATGTCCGAACGTTTTGGAAAACTGACTGAGTATGCAATGAAGCCAGAACTCCACCCAGTGACTCACATTGACTTTTAGATGCATGCCAGGTCCTTTTTTCGGTATCCACGCTGTATCTGTCACAGTTTACATCAGTGTATGGCGACCCTGAAACGAACACAGCATCAAATATTGTGTAACATACGTTCTCATGTCGATCACCTGGCTCATTTGTGAGTACATTTGTTAGTGGTTAGTGGTTCCGATGTCGTAGAGACAATGTTTGTTGTTGGAACCACAGTGTAAATGAATGGCGTAGTAACTAAAATCACAAGAATTTCAAGATTTCGAGGGTAATTAGAGCACAACACATTATACATAGTACATCATCTTTATATAAGGGTATTTACCTGGCTGCGTTGTGACTTCATTGGTTGTTGGTGGCATGTTAGTGGATATAATAGTCGCTGTTGGTTCTCCAGTAGTGTGTGATGTAGTGTCTGTCATTATTCGCATGTGAATAAAGAACAATATGGAACAATATCATTGCATCTGTAGTCAACATCTGTTTGTTTGCAGATAAGCATGAATTATTATATTGTTATATTTGTTGTTGATGGGACAGAATTAGTAGAGACATTATTCGCCATCTTTCAGTGGAAATTAAATGCGGATTATTTTAAGACATATAGTATAGACAGGTATAGCAGAGTTGTAGTGTACCTGTACAATATTACTAGCCACCAAACCAAATAATCGCACACGTATAATATCATTTCAGTGTTTCGTAACTATTTTCGAAACTGTTTTATTCAATTTATTTATAATATTTACCTTGCTCAGTTGTTGTTGTTGGACTGGTAGTGACAGTGTTAGTTCTTACTTCCTCGGTAGAAATAGGTGTGCTGCCTGGAAGCAATAAATAATAGGTCGTTTATATATGTAGGCGTACTAATTCTTATTACAAACAACAATCTTCAATATATTCTTGTATTCGTGTTATTTACCTGATTCAGTTGTGGGTACATTTGTAGTTATAGGTTCTGACGTAGTAGTAACAATGTTCGTTGTTGGTTCTTCAGTTGAAAGGAAAGGTGTCGTAACTGAATGTATGAGTATAATAATTAGTGATCGCAATATATTACCTGAACTGTGTTGTTTTCGGACATTACTTACAAATAACATGATTTTAATAGTTAAATAACGTTTTTAAAAAACGCATCCTTTCATAAGCCTAATATATTTATTTCGAATATTTACCTTGTGCAGTTGTAAGTACATTGGTAGTTTGAGGTATTATACTTGTAGTATCAATAGTCTTTGTTGGTTCTTTAGTAGATATGGATTGTGTCGTTACTAAATACATGAAGATAAAGTTTGAGAAAAATCATCGTACGACGTTTTTTTATAAGCCGCTCTGATTGAGCGGCGCCATTTTTTTACTACAGTGGCCACATTTTGAAACTGTAATATAGACGCCTGGTGCAGTGATACCAATCCACTTTTGTGTGAGGAAATGAATGCTTTTGAAAGCTATGCTTTGTATCCTGCTCAATGAGTAGAAAATGTGAAATAGTACATTTTTTGATTTTCGTAATTCAAAGAGCCGCCAGGTATATCTCGACCATCCCATGACATGTAACGGATTTCTTCGTGAAATAATACTTTCCACAATATGTGACCAAAGATCACCAAGTTGCTGTCCTTGTTGGTATTCATTGTACTTTCAATCGACTTTTCTCGACTAGACAAGGCGTGACAATTAAAGTTTCATTACTATTGGATTATTTAGGCAAATCCTAGTGTAACCACAGTTTACCAGAAAGGGTAATTAGAATTATTTTAAAACTATGCATTATCACGTGGAAGAACACATCGTCTAAACACATTTGAACGCACTTCATTTTTCATTCACTTCATTCATGTATCCCCGTACAACACTCGATCCTATAAACTAGATAGATATGCTGTCCCTGCTTATTCTAATACATTATCGATTCAAACTGTGCAGTGTCAGAAGGGACAACGCGTTATGATAGCAACTCAACTCATTATGAATGACATAAACCAGATAATGTTAATTTCACAGAAGACTAGTTCATTCGTATGTGGTTCTTTTTTTGCCACTTTAGTGAATGGTACAACTACGATACGGTGGATGAATATTGATTGTGGAATCGTGTGGTTCAGGTGAATGTCATTCGTCTTCTTACCTGGTTGTGTTGTTAGTGGAATTGCCGTGGAAATATTACAATCTACTGTAAATGGTAAGAAAAATCAAGTTAGAAAAATAAACACAGGCGCACAATGTATATGAATACATCATTGTTGTGTATAAACTTATCATAATGATTTCCTACCTATATCCCCATACTTACTAATATGTGTTTGGCATATATATGCCCGTTTTCTCCGGCAGTTGTTATCATCCCACTCATAGTTTCTTCGTTTCCTTGAATACATACACATACATATGAATATCTAATATATTATACACATGTTCGTATTTCAGCGCAATGGGAAGTTGGATTACTTGTACTTCCCATTAAACAAATAAATTATTCTTGAATTATAGAATACAGTAGAAACAACTTCATACCATCGATATTAGTAAATGCATTTGAGAACAAACGCATACAACCAACGCGGATGGTTATAATAATTTAAGTTTTTCTGGAATTGCACTTCCTTACGACAATTATTATTTAAACGCGCTTACCATAACTGTACACAGTCTTGCCCATTGGTATTGGACCTATTATTATTGTTTGGTTCGCCTGAAGCCCATGCTGTCCATCCAAAGGTTTCACCATTCAACCACTGATAGACCCCTTCTGCTGTTATATCATTAAGTCCAATCCAATACCCACGAATACCGTTAGCAAAACCACTATTCACGATAAACTGACGCACTGCATCGAAAATCGGTTTCGTGTGTAAAGATGCCAGCACTCCGCCGATAAGTTCACATTGAGATTTAGATGCGTGCCACTTTCGTTTATCCGACATAACATAGTATCGATCACAGTTTACATCAATGTAAAGGGCACCTACGCAAAAACAATACAATTGTGTGAGATAAATAAATTGATTGTGTTAATATATTTTAATAATATATATAAATGACGTTGCTGGAATTGACTTAATTCTTGTGAATATTGTGAAAACCGAAAGTCTTCTAACTATGCTATCACGTAGTAAATGCTATTTACAAAAACATAATCTTATGACAACCAGAATTTACTAGAGACTATATATTAATTACTACTAGCTGAAACAATGGCTTATTTACGTATTGTTTTCATGTGTTTGGTATCAATATTCAATAATTACAGAGAAATTGAAAACATCATGTTCATTCACCTGGTTTAGTTGTCAATACATTTGTTGTTAGAAAGATTGATGTTGATGGATTTTCTGTGGATGCATACTGTGCAGTAGTAACTACAACAAAACGTAGTTTCAGACATTGATCAGCATAATGAATTGTATTGTGATCCGTAGGATGAATCATAAAAAGTTTCTTATAATAATCGAGAACAGAAATGTGTAAATTTGTATATTTTGTACATTGCAATATGTGGTTCTATTGGTATGCTCAAATGATATGCGTTTTTAAATATACCAGTATTTTAATTGCATGGGTACGTCGTTCCGTATGCATTATTGCAATTAGCAGCCGTGTGGTATTGCATTAGTAAAAAGTAAAACAAGTCTTCATTATTCATTCCAAACATTGTACCTGGTAAAATTGAATATTCATTCGTCGTTGGTATAACTGGCGTGGTTGTTAAAGTTGGCGATTTTTCTTCTTCACTAGTCATCATGTATTGCGTGGTTAACTCTGCAAATTGAAGGAAAAAAAAGACGAATTGCTTATTTTACATTCATTTTTCTATAATTACTATTGACACACACGTTGGTGATTACAATAATGCCTTCTTAGAATGTATGATATGGTGCATATCGTAGACAGTGGTATCTTGAAGGTGAATTATAAATATTATATTATGCCTGTACACGTCACGATATTCACGTTAAAATAATTTTTCCATAGTAACACAGTGCAGCGAAAAAAGGCAAGTGACAACATCATTTTCCAAAGCTGACAGAAATTTATTTGTTCTACAACATATTGCTAAGAAGCGTATTATATCTAACGATTCTGTTGGCTACAAATATACGTTCTTCATTGTTTATATAAGTCGTGTCTATTAAGCATATGGATTGCAATCTATCTATGTAAAATTGCAATATCTCTGTCGTCTTGAGTTAATCACATGTCACGCGATATTATATTTATATATTCGCGTTAGGCTGATTGATACTCGTGGCGTTATGTGTAGTAACTACTCATTTTTGTGTATATTATTGGTGCATACCTTTAATTTATTATAAATCTGTCACCGTAACGTAAGTTACAGCGTGCCGTAATTTTGCGGTATATTACGGAGTATTCTCATCCTACCATATAAGAAAATGTGAATTCCAAATATGGAATGATTACGTGCGTAAGCATCCTCTAATAATACAAACAAACATGGCTGCCATCAGGGTTTGGCAGGACTCCACACAAGGAAGTTCGCTGACTCTGTACTAAATTTTTTTGAATTTCGGCATTCCAATGACGTATCCTCGGAAGGAAAATACGCATGCGTCGGTCGATACTCCAGTTGCACTATCATCGTGCATACTTTGAAGTATCTTCGTAATAACCTATTATGTGATAGATAAGCTCGTCATATTTATACATACTACTCACCACAGTTACTACTTGCATTACCAACATTACAGTAACTCCATGTATAGTTCCCAGTGTGATGATGGTGATACTGATTATTGTGGAAATGATAGGTAAACTGATTAGTGAAACACCAAGGTCCATCTTTTCCGTCTGGATTTCGACAGTAATTATGATCACCGAGTCCTGTATTAGGATAATTTGATGGTGTAATACTATAATGTGCTGCCGTCAATGATGTCCACTTCTCACACTCGTCGCCAGTGGACGTCATATTCTCAGATCCTCGATAATCGAGGCCATTGGGGTCGGTGTAACACTCCTCCTCACCTGTAATCATCACAGAAGACGATGTTTAAATATTACAATACAATTGGTTTTGTCAATATGGTAGCTATTTTTGAGGGAATGTTAAGCTTATATTTAGTATAAATGTTATGGCACTAATTGCATGTTTGAAACCTCATAATCTTGAATCAAATGCAAATCAGCAAAATAATTGTGTTACATATTAATATTGATTATTAATCAGTGTCAAATGAGTGTAATATATACTGGTGTATTATGCTGTAGACGCATTACAAAAACATACAGATAGATAAATTGCTTCACTCACTCACTCACTCAATCAATCCGACTCACCATTCAGCCATTATGGCATATATGGTTGACCTCCCAATGAGAAGAGACAGTGGACAAATCAGAAAATTTAGTATATTTATTGACCAATCTGAGATTAGATTCAACAAAAAACGTTTACGACTATATACCTCGCATCCCATCGTGCTAACATACCTGTTCATTTTTGAAAAAAATGTAATGTATTGTTTACTATATTGATTGAGAGCTTGTCGGTTGCATCAATTATGCGCGTATAACACTATACCTGGTGAAGTAGTTTGTTCGTTCGTGGTTGGCCGAAACGGTGCTGTGGTTAACGTTGGTGACTGTCCTTCTTCACTGATCACCATATAGTGTGTAGTCATCTCTGAAACAAACATAAATAAAAATGGGAATTTACATGTCGTCATATGACGAATGATGTGACCACTAATATATATATGTATATGGTATTGTGTTTGCGCATCAACTATAATCAGAACAAGTTGTTTCAATGACTGAAGGTATGTCAAGTCAATTACTTCACTAATTGAAAATATACAATATCGATTCTATCGCAAACATCTTCTGTCAGATTAAGGTCAGATACACGGATTTTCATGTTAGCCAAGCACAATGAATTCTCGTATGCACCCACTGATACTTACCGTTGGTTCGTTCAGTAATCTCTTGTATTGTCGTCAATTGTAGCTCGGTGGTTTGCTGAAACGTTGGCAATATCTGCGTTGTTGTATCTACATAACATACATTAAATAATACGATAATATAATCAACATTATTTATAATCGCCACAATCACCGTAGTTCTAATGTTGAAAACAGTCAATATAAAGGAAGTTACATAGTAGATCCAAAATGTTACCATCAACGTTTTATTATTATTACTATTATTATTATTATTATTATTGCAAAAGTTGATTAAAAACCATCGACGATTTAACTTCCACGTACTTTCCAGTGTACTGTACGTTAGTTACTTGTTTATTAGATCGATTTTCTATGAAAGACAATCAGATAAACCATAGACACAATTAGCTTTGTTTTTAGTGCCAAACCCCTTTGTTAAGTACAACAACAAATATGTCTGTGAGCTCTTGTGTGATTGGTCAATGCATGAACAGCTCTTCCAATTCTGTGTTTTACTCCCTATCAATTTGGATCCTATTTGACTCGGGGTTACGCCCAAACGCCATTCTCTTGACTGGAGATCTGTGTTGAAAAATAATCCTTTGTTGTTGCGTGTTTTTAACATCAGTTCACCTATTAACAATTCACCCTTAGACGTGATAATAGTAAAACTCCGTTCTCAAAAATCAAAATAAATAAATCCTCATTGAAATCTATTTTCTATTATTAGCCACAAGCCACTTCCGTACCATTCATCATTACGAGGGGTTCAGGGGTATACTAGTTGAGAAAGTTGGGAAAGTCACAATGTCTTTGCTCGTATTGCATATTGTTTCATTTTCGTCCCTCGTCACGTCCACCATTCTAAATACCATGTTTACATATGTCAGGTAAACATTAAGCGTGATTACTGGAGGGCATGGACACCTATTTGAGGGCAAAATATTTGTTTGTATTTTTCGCTGTCAATATCAATAACAAATATAGTATCGCGAAGACATTTTAAGGGTAGAACAAAGTGATGTGAAGCATCTAATGTAAGTGAAAATTTATGTTAAATAGCTGTGTATGTGGTGATATCTCTATTTCTTTAAATCAACGATTTTCATTAACATACGACCACAATATGCTATCGCCAATAACAGAAATAAAATCACCCACCGCAATTTTCACCAACACTACAGTATCTCCACCGTATTAAGGG